TCAAATATGACACTGACAAGCGGGAAGTTTCGCACCTGTTCTGGAGATTTCGAGAACTATCTGGGATACCTGGAGAAAACTATATAAGCGACGACGAGAACCATGGAAAGTAAGTGAAGGGACAGCCGCGCCTGAGTGCAGAAGAGGTTGAACCCCGCGAGTCGGAAGAGCGAATTTTCCGTCGGTTATTGTTATTGTTTGTGAAGTTGACGGTAATTTTGAAGTTAGTTTGTTCCTGTTCCGTAGTTAAAGTTGTACCGAGTGGAATAAAAGTTGGAAGCAGAAGAAAGAGTTTAATACTCGGCCATCCACGGTACAATATATATGTATATAGGTTCAAAAATATTATTTCGCTGCTCTTCGCGAAAATTTTCAGAATTTATTGATATTGTGAGACGTTGCATTCCGTGCGCCGTTTAAAATTCTACGTACTTGTTTTGTAAGATAATTTTGCTTTGCATAAATTGCATTTTGCAAAATCATCATTTAATGCAGAAAAGAAAGTCTACAAAAAAGTTATTTTCCGTCGCTTACTGCAATAGGTACATAATAAACAATTTCAATTCGAAAAAATGAACAAAACTCAATCAGTAAGCGTATTCCCAAAAAAAGCATTTAAAAAAAACAAAAACAGGCTACCGATACACAATTAGAATACGGCTAATGAATGGTGCATACTGAAATAGGTTCCTAAAAGTAGCAATAAAATCCAGGCTCATGGGAACCCGTGAATGCAAGCTTTCATTAGCAAACAAACGAATTTTATTTGGGTCGTTCTTTAGCCGTGTCACATGTGCTCTCGCAATAGTATCGTTAGCAGTGAAAATATAAGTGGCTCTTTACATCACATTTGGGACCATCACGTTTTAAATCACTGTTTATTTTTACGTTCGTCACAGATTGGACCTTGCTACCAATATGGATCTGGTCAAAATATTGAACAGAAAAAAATATATTAATGAGGCTAAAGAAAACGTAGTTTATTAATGCTACTACAACCAACAATACACATGTTGTGAACATTTAATAATAGCAGTTTAAAATATAGCAAATATATATAAATCATATTGAAGAGCAGTAACAAACCGAAAAAAGGTTACTAATCTCTGCAGTACTAACTGGGCTACTAATTCTATTAAATGACCTACAATATTAATAAGACTAAAATACGCTGGATTAATATATTGTTACAAGATTTAATTCTTATGCATCCGATTATACAAGTTCCGAAAAGAACATTAAACAATATACGTGTATAGGTTAGACATAGATAGATACTCAATATTTTTGTCATGAAACAAACTTTCCATTCACCATGTTACCATTGAGCTGCACAAACCAATCATCCTAATTATCAATTTAAAGGTATATCTTAATTACAGCAAAATCCGTATTGTTAGGTGGAAACCAATAGTTATATAATCTACGATATAACTTAATTTAATTTACTCAAAAACATAGCAAATTTTAAACCGGACAGTTTCGCGCATTATGTCCTACCAAATATATGAATTCTCCATAAATGCGTAACGCAACACATAGATCACAAGCATATATTTGATCCACAAGAGAAAACAACTGTTAAATCTGAACATCAACCGAGACCAACATTTTTTAAAACGTGGATATCGGTACCTCATGTGCTCGATTAATCTTGACTTATTGTAAGATCATTAAAAGGAAATGTAGCATTCAGATTTCAGAGAATTACATTATCCGAACAGCTCACAAAAGCATCTATGCTAAAGTTGTTGAAAGAGAATTTAAAATATGACTAAAGTAGCATTATGTGTTGTCTCCGCACACGCATCATATATAAGATAAACATATTCTCGAAATAGACTTATTATATCGAAACACAACCAACTACTGGCTAGTTGTCTAATAAGTACTATAAAATATTTAAAATTAAAAATAAACTGAAATATTTTGCCTTAAACTAACTAAAGATATTAACAATTTACACCAACAGAATTGCAGCAAATGTAATCGACTATTCTTTCATCTGCAATAGTAAACGTGTCGATTTTTTCTTAACGACATTCCCACACTTTTACTGTTTGATCTACACTCCCGGAAACGACGTAAGGGTATGTTTTGTGAAAATCTAAAAAAAAATACATGTATTAGAACATACCAATTAGGCCTGGGTAGACAAATGTAAATGGCTCGAAATTTAAAATTAAATCAATTTAAGACCGGCGTTTGGAGAGGTTTTCGTTTAGTTGTTGACTTTTGTTAAGTCGGAACCTGACATTTGCCTTTGGAAATATTGCCGTGCGCACAGGCACTTTCTACCAAAATGCCATCAATAAAAAAACTGAAATCGAACTGCAAAGTAAAGCAAGGATCTTCGAAAGGGCGAATAATTACATGATTAAATAATAATATTTATTCTATAGTTCGGTGTCTTTTTTCTCGAAAACGTGTATCAATGTTCAGTTTGCTGCCGACAGTGGACGAAATTGGTCGATGATCTCATCTTAGATGGGAAATATATAAAGACTATGGTCCTTATGGCAAGTGCGGTAGTTTAAAAAAGTGTAGTAAACTTCTCGAGCATGAATGGGTGAAAAATGGAGGATGGTGCGCCAGCTTGCAAAAAACTGGTAAGAGTGATCTCTAATCTATAAATATTTCAGCTTGAACCGAGTTTAGTTTTCCGACAACACATTTTCTTCTTTCTTTCCAGGTGGCACTACGCAGCTTTCGGTAAGTTTATCATTACTTTGCCTCTGGTTGTAGAACTTTTAGTCTTATCTTCATTAACTGACTCATAGGGTGGATTTCGTATCCATTGAGCTATTGGTTGTTTCGAAGCTAATTTTTAAATTTTGGGATTATTTTGGGCAGTTTTGTATTTTCCTTATCAAGCTCATGTGAAACTTTTCGCTAGAGAACCGGTTCAGATATGGAAATTTGGATTCCAGTATTCCAGTACAAGAAGCATCAGCTTACTGATAGTTTGGATTTGAATCCGATAAAAAATTGATTCCTTCACAAGATATTTCTAAACTTTGGGAATATTTTGGGAGAATTTGTATTTTTACATCAATCTAATCTCAAGCGTGTCTTCAAAAAACCGTTTCAGATATGCAAACATGGGTTCCAGTTTTATGTTTTTTGTTTAAAAAGGACAAGAGTTTTAGTTTTTCCAGTTTTTTTTAAACTGCGATATCGACTGAAATATGACGCCACCTTTTTTGACGTTGCTCAAGAACCATTTGAGCCACGAAGTTCGTTTTGATATCATTGAATAAAGAATTGGTAACTCGATTCAGTTAAAACAACGCGCGTGAATATATTCTGGTAGATTTGTCAGAAAAGTCACATAAAATTTGAACATCAGACATTTAGGTGCAAGTTTACGCTAAAATTTCATTTAAAGAAAACGTCTCCTACATAATGTCTATAAATAATAATCTTTCAATTTTCTAGTCGTACTTTGGAAGAAGGAATTTTTTAATGAATAGTATACAGTTGCGAAAAGCGTTAATTTTCAAATCAACGTTCGAAAAATGCAATGCAAAATGTGTCCCGCAATAGATTTTTCAAATTCTAACCTAAAAATTTTTGGACGATGAGTGAAAATCGAAATTTTTACGGCATTTAGAGTCTTTACTGGACGCACAACTCATCGCCTCTCACTGTGCCACAATTTCAATTACGCTTAGCATTTAACCCAAAGCTTTACGAGGTCCGGGGCTGGAATTTCAACACCTAATAAATAAAAAAGATTGCCACATTTTTTAGGAACAACATTTTACCAAATGGGTGACTGCACCGGTGAGTTACTGTACCGATGCGTTGGGTTGGCGCACCAAGCCATTTCGGCATCACTGCGCTAACTCCCCAGAATTCGCAGAGTTCCCCATGCCTAGTGTCAATAGTAAAGTTTAATGATCGTGGGAACAGAATTATTCAATAACAAATGTGGGTTTTTCTCTGAGAAGAATCTCATTTGTAATATGCCGTTATGGGCGATTTCTCACCTTCCGACACAACAGCGACTCGATCACGGCACCGAACCAACCCCGAATCGGTTGATGTTTTCACACATTTTTTGTTCTTAATACTTTAACGAGTCACCTGCATTTCTCCTGTCACCGTTCTCCAAAAACGAACATAACGGGAGTGGGTAAATTGTAAATGCTATATTTGTAGTGCAAGAAACGAAATAAGCAAAGGGAGAAATGGCAACATCCAATAACAAAAATTACATATTTAGAAGGTTGGCATTATACCCTGCTTGAGAAGTTTATTACTGACCAAAACAAATATTCTTCAATTATTTTCGCATGAGCTAAAGTACATTTGAAAAATTATTGGAAATGGTGTGTACAGGGTGGGCCAAAATGGAAACTTTAACATGGATTTTTCTATTGGACATTTCTATTCCAGATAGACAAAAACGGATGTCGGTGTCTGAGCCTTGATTTTTATGACAAAATTAATGACGAAACCGGTATGTCAATATATCAAATAGTTTCCGAGATACAGGGTCGTTTCCACAAATCTGCACTTTTGAAAACTATTTGCAGATTTCAGGCATGATGTGCCAATCTCAGGCACCCCGGCACCGGTTTCGAGATCGTTTCTTCATTCGTCAATGACTTTTTGAATGATATATTTTATAGGCCTCCCGTAACTTTGTCCATGCTCTTATATCTTGTGTCTCCTGCATCCA